AACCGGAGGACCTGGAGAAAACCCACGAGGTTGGACAGGCGACCCTACTCCTTGTCACGTACAACCGGGGAATGTCTTATGTATTAAAGATACACTATGTAAGATTTAGATAAAGAGCTAGTCATTCTTGCTTTAATAGTTCAAGAAGAATAGATAATGCAAAATGAATTTATTGAAAATTTCGTTCAAATTGCTCCATTGCGAGCGAAAATATTAGCCTTTGAAGGTTTGACAAGATATGTGCATGCATTATTGCAACCACCGCACTGGCTGTTCGAAGCTTAGCCTCGCAAAAAACATGACTGAACCGTTGTAATCAACTTAATATTGGAGATATCCGATGGCATCGAGAGTTGACTATTAGTCTTGGTACGTTAATTAATGTCTAATTAATAACATTTCAGGCGTAAAGAAAGACCTGCAATAGGCAGATTTAGCTCTTGAATAATCTATGTTTAATGTTTTCAAATGTTATATTGTCTATATATCTTCTTTTTATTCTGGGGTGGATCACGTGGCTAAATGGGGAAGACGCTGGCTCGTTAGCCTGGAGGTCGGGTGTTCGATCCCTGCATTGGCCAAGAAAGTTCATTCAGATTTTCCGGCGTGGTTCCCCCTTGTCAGTGATGCAGGACGGAAGGCCTGACAAGGACAGCTGTCTAGTCCTTCGGGTGAGACGAAAAACCGAGGTCCCGTGTATACATTGGAATGCACGTAAAAGATCCCTTGGCAGTTGGAATTCGATATAAGAGTAGGCGATAGTGCCGCTGCCCGGGCAATATTTCCCTCATAGCACACTGTATGGCGTATGCCCGTCTTCATTAGCCAAGTATAGGAACAGAACAGTAGACGTTAAACCCCATTTCATTTTATTAATTCTGGGTCAGGATTTCCCGAAGTGATTCTCACTTGTCAGTGGTGTAGGGGGGGGGGGTCTGGCAAGAGTTGACATATAGTCGTTCGGATGTAACGAAACACTGATATCCCGTGCACGTACAAATTCCCTTGGCAGTTGGAATTGGATATAGGAGGTAGCGCCGCTGTCTGGGCAAAATGTCCCTTATAGCAAACTGTATGGCGTATGCCCGTCTCAATTTGCTACTAATATTACAACAAAAATGTGACTTAATACTTTAATTGATATTCATTAAAAATATTGAAAACAATTTTATCGAAAACCGACTTCATTTGCCCAGTCGGAGAAGAACATTTCTTTTTCTATTGCAGCTTTATTTTATCCGGAGACACATTTCAGAAATGATTCCCTTGTGTTTATTTTAACATCAATCTGGTTGAAATACAGATCTATATTTCGTTTCTTTTTTTGTATGCTTTCGATGGCCCACGCTTCATGAAGATCTGATCGGTTGTAAGTGGCCCTATTACATCAGACATTGAAGCGTTGTGTTTTAATCAGATTGTTTGAACGTGTTCGTATTTTAATTTAGTTTGAATAACTGTAATAGATATTTTATTGATATGTATACATATATCGACCAGCACATCGAAGCATTATTTAACATATGGGAGTGATCGTCTCGTGGTTTGATGACATAGGGGCCTACTTATTATTTTTCATGTATATTTAACTTGCAACTGCATTCTACTTTATTTTGCGTGTAATTATAGTGTTCTTCATAAATTCTACTTGTATAATGTATATGTTTTGTAGTTTAGGCGTGACTTCCCAAACTTCCCACTTTAAACTGCTATTGCATTTCAGATGATTTTGAATTTATCCTGATATTACATGTATATATTATGTCTTTGTAGCTTAGGATTGACTTATGGAAGATTAGGTTTTTTTTGCAAACTAAATAAGTTGCCTCATTAAATAAAGTTTCTATTATTATTCTATTATTATTTGACATACACTGATTATGAATTACACGGTGGGCCATTGGAATTGCATAGTGGGCCAGTGGGATCCTACGGTGGGCCAGTGGAATCACATGGTGGACCAGTGGAACCACACTGTGGACCAGAGGAATTAAACATTGGGCTAGTGGAATCACATTGTGAACCACTGGAATTAAACGGTGGGCCAGTGGAATTACACAGCGGGCCAGTGGAATCCCCAATGTGCCATTTGAATTAAATGGTGTTCTAGTGAAATTACAAGGTGGGCGACTGGAATCTTAAACTCTTATGTATTCCATATGATCGCCTCTCTCTCTCTCTCTCTCTCTTTCTCTTACGAACATGGACGTACCAGACTTGAGACATATACTTAGTCATAGCTTAGGCCTAATGTTATTTTTGAAATATTTTCCACGTTACAGGCGCCTGTGGTTTGTCGTGGTAATTGAACTAATTTTGTAAATCAAAAATTCGTTTGAATAAAAGAAATTTTATTCGGCCTGGTTTCCACTTAAAGTTATACAAGTCTAGAAAATTTATCAAACCCATGCTGACATATATCCAATAGTAGGACGTTAAACCCTATTTCATTTCTAGATACGTTTAGAAAATATATCTAACCTATGTTAAAATATTAGGACGTTAAGCCCCATTTCATTTCTATGGATGCCCTAATGGTTAGCGCGTGCGCGTTATATCAAAAGGCATGTCACTGAGTGAACTGGCGTGGTTCTGATTCCCCGGTTGTACGTGACAAGGCGTAGGGTCGCAAGTCCAACATCGCAGGTTTTCTCCGGTTCCTCTGGTTTCCCTCCACTGCTAAAGACCCCTACGCACAAGCGAATTATTGAAATAAAATTGAACCATATGTTAGACCCGAAATGACCTAGTTTGTGTCGAGCGAGTGGACATTAAACCCATCCTCTCTCTCGCTCTCTCTCTCTCTCTTCTCTCTCTCTCGTCGAAACGTCGCCAGAAATAAACTTATGTGTTCCATATGATCGTCTCTCTCTCTCTCTCTCTCTCTCTCTCTGAAACATATGTCTAGAACGTATATCCGACAGTAGGATGTTAAACCTCATTTCATTCCATATTAGTCATGAAAATATTAAAATATAATCTGATCATACAAGATAAACATAACAACACCTGTTACATACCGGTATTAATATCGATATTAATTCCACTTTCACTAGAAATTATTGTTTTGTTATTTATTTCCCCTGCCTGTCATAGATCTATTCATGGAAAGAATATTTAATAAATAAAGCTGAGTAAACTTATATTTTCATAACAGTTTTATTTTTTTTTATAACCATGGCCTGTCTAAAGCTTTGTTTTTATGACAAGCTGTTTAAACACATTGGAGAGTTGGGGTGACAGGGTTGGGGGCGGGTTCTTTTTGGTGGGGGTGGGGGGTTAACGTCCGGTTAACAAAGATTAGAAGTCCTTTCGGAACTAACATATGGTTCGATTTTATATACACGACGATAGAAGGGGTTTCATGACACAACTTATGTTATTTTGGGACTAACATATGGTTCACTTTTATTCAATAATTCGCTTTCACGTATATATAGGGGGTCTTTAGAGAGAGAGGGAGAGGGAGAGAGAGAGAGAGGACTCATATTTTCATAACAGTTTTTTTTATAAACACGGTGTGTCTAAAGCTTTGTTTTTATTTCAAACTGTTTAAACACATTGGAGAGACGTGTGTGTGTGTGTGGGGGGGGGGGGGGGAGTAACGTCTAGTTGACAAAGTTTAGAGGTCCTCATGAGACTAACATATGGTTCAGTTTTATATACACGACGATAGAGGGGGTTTAAGGCCCAGTCGACGCAACCTGGATTATTTCAGAACTAGCATATGTTTCAATTTTATTTCAATAATTCGCTTGCACGTAGGGGTCTTTATCGAGAAAGGGAGTGAGCGAGAAATGGGCTTTAACGTCCAGTCGATATAAACTAGGTCAGTTCGGAACTAATGGGGGGGGGGGGGGTCTTTAGCAGTGCACATATAAAACTGTTATTTCAGAATGTTTCCGTGGGGGAGCCGTCAAACCAATTTCAATAATCCCCGCCAAATACCTGAATATTTGTTTTGCCATCTTGTATTCGGAGTCCTTTGAAAACTGCCTCGTTTTAAAGGGACAATAACACTCTTGCTGGCTTGACAGCTCAAGAAAATAAAAAATAGCCTTATTCTAAGTGTCCTACCTGTTGTGTAAATTATCCATTAAATCCTATTTTACTTGTCCAGAGGGTTCAAAAATAGTTTGTGTCGAGTGGACGTTAAACCCCATTTCTCTCTCTCTCTCGTGGGTTTACTCCGGGTGCTCTGGTTTGATTCCACGGGAAAGACCCCTGCGCGTGCCCTGGGCATAATAAAATAAGACAACTTGTCTGCGATATCACCATTAGTGGAAGCGGATGTTAAACACTAATAGAAGAATAAGTATAGATTTGTCTTTTGAACAGATTGGGACAAAGTCATCGGGTGCTTTTGGATGGACTTTGGACCTTCTCTTGGATTGTTAATGATACGGACACTAGGTTATAAATGTAAAGCGGACATTTTTGTCAATTCGTTGTTATAGAGATAATAATTCTGGAACAGTAGGACGTTAAACCCCATTTCATTTCATGTCATTTCTAATAATTCTGGGAGTCTTTTATTCACTTCTTGAGATCATGTCCGTTTGTCGGGTCGGACATCAGTGATATATAGGGGATGAGAGCAGGGGTGTGATGACCCATGATTTTGCATGAGGAACAATCCCCAAAACAATATTTCTATGTGGGTGGGGGAGGGGCGGGGTCTCAGTCCCTCCCAGTGCCACGAAGTCGATTTGTACAATATCGGTATATGTTTGACACTGGTTAAGCATTGTGATTATAATGTTGAAACCCGCATTGAAACCGCGTGATTTTTAGCCATTTGCGAGGGGCGCAAAAACTCAAAACCATGACGCAAAGCTCGTCATTGCGTCCCTCTCACATAGCCCCTGGATGAGAGTAGTTAGTGTTTCCGACAACGCGTGACCCCTCCCGCATCTCTAGAAACCGTGCTTCGCCAATAAAACCTTAAAATAAATTCCTGCAAAGGCTTTTAAATAATGTGATATTCATGAGCGACTTACCGGTTTAAACATGATCACCACTTCAACAATCTACTTTCTAAAACTTCAGGACATGTCGCCGCTTAATGCTTTTGTTTCGTAATCCAAGATGGCCAATAACCAAAAACCGTTGACTGGACCTGACTCCCAATTTAACACCAAAACTAATCGAAAGTCTTGTCAACTTGAAGAAATAGTTAAACATACAGCCCCCTCATTAAACAGTTTTCACTTTGGTCGTCATCTGGACTTCTATTGAACTTTATCGATCAATTTGAAGTTTTTAGTCCCAAACATCCACTCTTTTTTCAGTTTTGATAAATGCGCATACATAAGTAGTTGTACTGGTTATTCAAACATCGTTTATTAATACCCTAACAGCTGGTTCCAAGAGCACGTGACCTACATTTTATTATTATGCTTAATGTCATTTTCTAGCAATACTGAATAATATAACGAGTTGAGAGGACCATCAACGATTGTTGTAATTATATGTCTACCGATTATTTACATCCGTTAATGTATTATTACGTTAAAGGTTGTATTTAATTATAGGTCACCATGACAACCCCCTGTGGTGACCTAATCATTCTGTATCAAATAAAATTATGAATGTTAGACATTCCGAGACTAACATAGGGTAATGTGAAGGTTGGTTATTAAGGGGCGTGTCCAGGAATTTGAACAGCTGGTGGAGGTTGTCCAAGGTGGAGACAAGTCAAATTTGACGTTCGGTCGGTGTGGGGGGGGGGGGGACTACCCGCGAATATGATAAATTCAGAAGTACTGAGACAATATTTCTACTCATTTAGGTGCACACATGTATTGGACTACAGTGGAGAGGGGTCAAAAACGGCGTTATTTTCATGAATGTAGGTGAGAAAACTCTTTTTTGCGTCAAGAATAAGGGGTGCGGACACCTTAGCACCCCCCCCCCCCCCCTCCCCGGACAAGCGCCGGGTATTTTGTCAGGAAGAAGGCGTTTCAGAGGCGTTTCTTCGAATTCCATCTGCAATGGCTTCAATTTCCAATTTCACAATTTTGGGTTACAAACGAAGAAGGTACCAAGGGACGATTCAGTGCCTCCTATATACGTATGTAACCAGGGGCACTAACATATGGTTCAGTTTTTATTTCAATAATTCTCTTGTGTGTAGAGGTCTTCAGCAGTGGAAGGAAATCGGAGGACCCAGAGAAAACCCACGGAGCCGTACAGGTGACCCTACTCCTTGTCACGTACAACAGGGGAATCGAAACCACGACAGTTGACTCAATGACAGACCTTATGATACAGCGCACACAAGATAACCTTTCAGCCATCCAATCCCCAGCTTCAACGCATGTAACTAGGGATGATTCCGCGCCTGTAAAAATGAGTTTAAACTATAATACTATTGGTCTTCTATGTTGTGTTTTCTTAGTGATCGAAATTATAACTTAGATTAGTTTTTATATACAACTTTATTATTGAAGCCGATTGGCATCAATGTTCCTCGTTCTCAATAAAATGTAAATAGCTTTTGATGTCTGCTCTGACAGACTGAGTGAGCTCTGGGGCCTGTTTCACGAAATTTTAACTAAGATAAAATCCAGATTTTAGTAATTTGATTGGATAATATTAGATTGATTTCTCTGGGCCCTGTTTCTCGAAATCTTAACTAAAGATAAAATCCAAATTTTAGTAGATACTTCAATTTTGATTGGCTAAGCACTAAAATCAATCTAATATTATCCAATCAAATTACTAAAATCTGGATTTTATCTTAGTTAAAATTTCGTGAAACAGGCCCCAGATGGTTTTCTACCCATGGGTTTCGGCTTTCAATTATCTAATTGGTCGAATATGACGTAATTAATTATAATGATTGGTTGCTATACCAAATGATGCAATAGTAATTTCCCTACCATAAGTGATGGTAGAGAGAGATGGGGTTTAACATACACTCGACACAAACTAGGTTATTTCGGGACTCACACATGGTTCAATTTTATTTCAATAACTCGCTTTCGCGTGAGAGGAAAACGGGGACCCAGAGCAAACCCACGAGGTTGGACACGTACAACCGGGGAATCAATGACAGACCGTATCCTTGTATGTGAACCCAATAATTAGTTAAAAGATAAAATATTAATAAAAGGCTATTATTCATTTAAAAACAAAAATTCTACAATAGTCTTACAAAACGCACAATACCAGGTGCCCGATAAATAATCTTATATCGATAGGCCTATATCAAAACCTAATAATACGCAACAACAGGGAATATATATAGTGGATATTTAATTACATACAATTAATTAAGTAATTAGACATTAATTAATATACTAGACCGCATTCTCATAACTATTATATAGTTTATTACATGCAAGAATACAATTAGAGTTAATCGTTTTTGTCGCCTTGTGTATAGGTTAATATGAACTATCAACTTAATTAATACTATAATTTCGGTCGGGATATAGTGGCTTGGTTTCGATTCCCCGCTTGTACGTGACTAGGGGTAGGGTAGCTTGTCTCCACCCTTGTGGGTTTGTTCCGGTTTCTCCCGCTGCTATAGACCCCTACGCGCAAGCGAGGAATTGAAACAGAATTGAACATTGGGTTAGTCCCGAAATGACTTCTTTTTTGTCGAGTGGACGTTAAACTCCCCCCTCCTCTCTCTCTCGCTCTCACCCCCCCCACCCTCTCTCTCTCTCTCCAACCAGGCTAGTGAACACATTAGAGGACTAGCTCCTTTAAACATGAATGAATGAATCAATGGAATGGGGTTTAAGGTCCTACTTTTCTGTATCAACCGGGCTATTGAAGACTAGACTTTGTCCTACAACACTGACAAGAGGACACCGGGCTGAAAAGTCATGAATATTACCCCCCAGGCATGTTATCCCAATACAAGATTCTGTACCACAATACGTTATCATAACGAAAGATCCGATACCATAACGTAAGATGCCTTGCCACAAGGAAGGATACGTTATCATAACAAAAAATAGTTACCACAGCGAAAGAAGATGCGTTACCAAAAGGAAAGATACATTACCACAGCGCACGATACGTTACCACAACGAAAGATAAGTAACCACAGCGAAGGATACGTTATCATAAACTAAAGATACGTCACCGTAACGGAAGACTCGTTACCACAACCATAGATGCCTTACCACAACCAAAGATATGTTACTATCATGAAAGATACGTTACCAAAATGACCGATACGTTACTACAACCAAAGATACGTTACCGCAGCGACAGATACGTTACAATAAGGGAAAGATACGTTACCGCAGCGAAAGATACGTTACCATAAAGGAAAGATACGTTACCATTACGAAAGATAATATACCATAAGGGAACGATACGTTACCGCAGCGATACGTTTCATAAAGGAAAGATACGTTACCATAAAGGCCAGATAGTTACCATTACGAAAAATACTTTACAATAAAGGAAAGATACGTTACCGCAGCGAAAGATACGTTACCATAGAGAAAAGATACGTTACCATAAAGGAAAGATACGTTACCATAAAGGAAAAATACGTTACCATAAAAGAAAGATACGTTACCATAAAGGAAAGATACGTTACCATTACGAAATATACTTTACCATAAAGGAAAGATACGTTACCATAAAGGAAAGATACGTTACCATAAAGGAAAGATACGTTACCATTACGAAAGATACTTTAACACAAAGGAAAGATACGTTACCGAACCAAAGATACGTTACTACACGGAAATATACGTTACCATAACAAAAGATACTTTACCACAGTGAAAGACACATGTTATCACACGGAAAGATATCACAAGGAAAGCTACGCTATCACAAGGAAAGATACGTTACCACAAGGAAAGATGCGCTATCACAAAGAAAGATACGTTACCACAAGGACAGATATGCTATCACAAGGAAAGATACGTTACCACAAGGAAAGATACGTTATCACAAGGAAAGATACGTTACCACAAGGAAAGATACGTTATCACAGCTAAAGACACGTTACCACAAGGAAAGATACGTTACCACAAGGAAAGATACGTTATCACTGCTAAAGACACGTTACCACAAGGAAAGATACGTTATCACAGCTAAAGACACGTGTAACGTCTACTCGACACAAACTAGGTCATTTCGGGACTAACATATGGTTCGATTTTATTTCAATAATTCGCTTGACCGTAGGGGTCTTTAGCAGTGGTAGTAAATCGGAGGACCCGGAGAAAACCCATAAGGTTGGACAGACGACCTTAATCGTTGTCACGTACAACCGGGGAATCGAAACCACACTACTTGACTCAATGACAGACCTTATGCTGCAACGCGCACGCGTTAACCATTCGGCCACCCCTTAAGAAAAACAAAAACAAACAAATTAACCTACATGTCAGCTGTATTTAGGTCAGGTGAGATTATGGACGGCGGTGTTATTAAAACTACCCGTGAAATAAATAATAATCATATTTAACAACAGATGTTATGGGAATTGATCTGGTGACATACAATTTATCAATATGTTAATATATTTATAGGGGGATTATAAGTTTACCAATATGTTTTACCGGTGTTAATATAGTTATTGGGGATTATAAGTTTATCAATATGTTATATACAGTAGACATACCTAAGTGGGTTACCCTAACAGGGTGTTACGGTGGGTAGTCCAGTTTTCGACCCCGGTGTTGGTCAAGAACATTCACAGGATTTTCTGGCACGGTCCCCCTTTGCCAGTGGGACAGGTCTCGACAGAGGGCCTGTCAAACGACAGCGTATAATCGTTCGGATGGGACGAAAAAACGCGGTTCCGTGTAGTAAAAGAACCCTTGACAGTTGGAATTCGAGATAAGAGTAGGCCGAGGTGCCACTGTCCAAGATTCCCCTCATAGCACATTGTATGGCGTATGTCCATGTTCATTAGCCCAGTCGGTGCAGAACAGTAGGACGTTAAACCTCATTTCATTTCATTTAAACCCAATGTCTAGTTACACTAAATTCAGTACTCGGTTTACCTATAGAGGCTTGGCAGGCCAAAGCCTAGACCATCAAGACCTAGAGGGGGGGGGGGCTCAGACCAAAGTATATAATATTTTTAATACGGTCTTTCTTACACGCTCTCGTAATATCTCTGTAAAAGATGGCTGCCTTCAACACATGACGTCATATCACGCGGTGCCAATTATGGCTCAACGGCGTGTGCATTGTTTACATAACACGTTACTGATTCGAGCAGAATGGCGCCTTTTACTCATTTTTATGCCCATTATTATT